GGAGTTGCAATAAAAGAATTATGCAATGCCAAATAATCCATGATGCATGTGTTAGACTGCGCAGGGACCTTTTGCCCTTCGGTGATCATCCACACACGGTGATGAGCGAGGAACGCCCTAGTCTCCGAAAGGAGCCTAGAAACTGTGGGTGGTAAATGAATGCCTAGTTACCATGTACGTACACAAGCCCTCCTGATGAAACGCGTTGGATCCTAAAGGCTCCTGGATGGGCCCGCGAAAGAGGCACACTATGCCTGACCTATTGTCGCGGTATGCAAAGTATGCCATGATCCTAAAAATTGCGTCTGGGATATACATGATGATACGAATGCATTGCTTGAAAGAAGATTGAGTTCAACGCATACATATAGGTTTGATTCCGTATAAAGATGATTTGTTTCTCAACATGATGGCCCCGAGTTCAGAACTGGCTGATAATTGATTATTCATTGATGAGAATCGATTATCAGGCATGGCAGTTCCTATTCCAAGGTTCTGCAGCCTCTGATAGTCGATTGTCACCTTGGGACAATCGATTGTAAAATTGGTCTATCCAGGAACCCAAGTTTAGAGAGGCCTGATAACCGATTAATGCTCTGTGATAATCGATTATCAAGTGGAACCAACTCTAACTCAGGAATCCGCAGGGTCTGATAACTGATTATCACTTATGTGATAATCAATTGTCACACTTTGCTGATCTAAACGAGAAGTCCAGCGCGGCCTGATAATCGATTGTCATGTCCTATTAATCGATTATCAGAGTACGCGATTTCCCATTTTGTCCGTCTAATTGTAATCAAAACGTAGGAAGTTTGAAATAAACATTTATGTTTTTACATGAAGAAGTTTATGAATTTAAGGGGTTCCAAAATGATCAAATTAACGAGTTCGTAATCGAAAAGTTTTAAGTAACAGAAAAGCCATGATAATGCGGACACACGTAGGTTTAGCCAGGTAATCCTATGAATATAACGATATGAATGAACTACGAATTCTAAAGTTAGAGGGCAACGTACTCACCTCTAAATGCAGGGGTTGACGGAAAGTAACGGGATGAACGAACGGACGACAAACAAATGGACGAACGACCTCACACACAACGGACGAACCTCCTTCCTTTCTTCCTTTTTCCTCGTCTACACTCCGGAGTGCCTCCCTTGCCTAGCTGCTGGCCGAATCACAAGAGAAGGTGGGAGGAGGAGAGTTGTGAGGATTGTTATGGATGGTGGGAGTTACAAGAATGATGAGGAAAATGAAGGGAGAAAGGGGCTTATAATTAAAGGGAATAATGGAGAAATAATGATGGGAGTAAATGGGTTGAAGGTGGCATGTGAGTTTAATTGGGGAGTTACCTCCCAAAACTTCACTCCGTTGTGTAAAATATAACCTTAACGGTACGAGTTTTTCACCCCCGAACAGGTCCAAATAAAGATTCGTTTACGTTTCTAGAATCAGACAGTCAGGACGAATATTATGGTGTGATCAAATAGTTTTTCTGAAGACTTTATTTTTCCCAACCCTGGTCCGAGTTAGTAATTAATTAATTAAATTAATCAATTCTAATAGACTGGGTCGCAGAGCGTTACAATTATCCACTCCTTAAGAAAATTTCGTCCTCAAAATTTACCTGGTCATTGGTCACCGAAGAGATGTGGGTAACGCGTGCACATGGATTCTTCGGTTTCCCAACTCCCCTCCTCAATGGAGTCACTTCTCCAAAGAGCTTTGACTAACGGGATGGTTTTGGATCTCGCGATCAAGAAGCTAAACCGGCTCCTCCTCGTATGTGAGATTCTTATCGAGGGTAACGGTATCTAATGGAATCCCGTGAGAGGGGTCTGACCAATATCTTCGGAGCATAAACACGTGAAATACGTTGTGAATCTTGCTCAGCTCAGGTGGTAGCTCAATCATATTCGTAGGGAAAGTCTTCCCTTGCACGAATAACAGCAATTAGTTACAACCACAAAGCCTATCACCGGAGTGATGGATATGATTCGAATAAGATGATGTGGTTGCTATAGTATTAATGCTTTGAGCTGTCTTGTCATCTTGTAAGTGTTGTAGTCAATGGGGCGTTACTCTGAGGTTGAATGTGAGCTTGTCGGTATTCCCTATTCGGGTTTTTCTAATGTTTCCGATGGGTTTCTCAAAGCCGTACTTACTTCATTGATGAAGTTTTTTTAAAGACATAATGAATTAATTAAGTAGTTCTTGATTGGGTTTATTCAAGAAGATTCGTTCAAAGAAGTTTAGACAAGGATTCTATATTGTTCACAACCTTGATTGCGCCACAGTTACCAAGTAATCCCTTTAGTCTTTTCGAGCTGAGTCTATTGGAGGAGCATCCACACCTCCATCGCAGATACTATTGACAGAGTCCACGCTGAATTTTTCTTCTGGATCATCTCTTTCCCACGCTGCCATCTGACGCTTCCAGATCCATAACCTTGCTATCCGAGCCTTGCGATGTGCACGTTGGTAGCGCTCTCTCGAACCGTAACTTTGCCTCTTGTTCTTTCGTCTCGTACCAAGAAAGAAAGTTTGAATGGAGTCAATGCTTGACATGCTGTTGGTTCTAACAGTACTCATCTAACAATCGCAGAGTATCAAAATGTTAACAAGTACTTGGGAGTGCATAACACAAATACCTTGACGCTTCGATGTGCGCTCACGTGCTCAGGCACTCCTATGTGGATCTGCCTGTTCGTGTTTTGCTGTTGACTAACTTTATAAAAGAAGAGTTTTCTATGAGGCAGAGTAATAATAATAACTTAAATGATAACTGTTACCTTCCCGGATGGAGATGCGAAGGGGGATGCGACGGTGGATCCTGAAGAAAATGTTTTCAAAATGGGTTTCAAAATCGTTTTTAAAACCAAATTCTCGGATACCAAAATGCAACACCCTCCGTCCCGCGAACCCAGTTCGCCGCGGCCCAACGAGCCGGAGGGGTTACGTAGACAGGTTTTTAAGACCGTCTACAGGAAACTCCTTAAATTACTTTTGCAACCGGAAAACCTTTGATATAATTAATAAAACTATTGGGGAATTAGTTCCCTTAAAAATGATTCATGGCGGAAGCAATAACAAAAATAAACGTTAAGTCTTAAACGAACTAAATTCAACAACGGTGGGTTCAAGCCCAGAACAATTCGTAAAACTAAATGGAAAATAAGTCGGGTCCACGCAGTCGCCTATCTGCCGCCCCGATCTCCCAATCATCCTGGTCAGGCTCCATGATCATCTCGCCTACCTGCGTATAGCAAAAACAATGCTATACGCTCAGCATAATCTGAGTGGTAATCTAACAGTAGAACGCATAGTACAGTTCACATTGATATAAACATAATCGTACCTGTACTAAAATACGAGATACCACATACAATTTTGATAAATAAGAGTTGCAATAAAAGAATAATGCAATGCCAAGTAATCCATGATGCATGAGTTAGACTGCGCAGGGACCTCCTGCCCTTCGGTGATCATCCCCACGCGGTGATGAGCCGAGGAATGCCTTAGTCTCCCAAAGGAGCCTAGAAACTGTGGGTGGTAACTGAATGCCTAGTTACCATGTACGTACACAAGCCCTCTTGATGAAACCCGTTGGATCCCAAAGGCTCCTGGACGGGCCCGCGGAAGAGACGCACTAGGCTTGATCTCTTGTCGTGGTATGTAAAGTATGCCATGATCCTAAAACATGCATCTAGGATATACATGATGATATGAATGCATTGCTTGAAAGAAGGTTGAGTTCAACGAATACATATATGTTTGATTCCATATGAAGATGATTTGTTTCTCAACATGATGGCCCTGGGTTCAGAAATGGCTGATAATCGATTATTCATTGGTGACAATCGATTATCAGGCATGGTAGTTCCTATCCCAAGGTTCTGCAGCCTCTGATAGTCGATGGTCACCTTGGGACAATCAATTGTCAAATTGGTCTGTCCTGGAACCAAAGTTCAGAGAGGCCTGATAATCGATTATTGCTCTGTGATAATTTATTATCAAGTGGAACCAACTCTGACTCAGGAATCTGCAGGGTTTGATAATTGATTATCACTTATGTGATAATCGATTGTCACACTTTGCTGATCTAAACGAGAAGTCCAGCGTGGCCTGATAATCGATTGTCATGTCCTATTCATCGATTATCATATCACGCGAGTTCCCATTTTGTCCGTCTAATTGTAATCAAAACGTAGGATGTTTGAAATAAACGTTTATGTTTTTACATGAAGAAGTTTATGAGTTTAAGGGGTTCCAAAATGATCACATCAACGAGTTCGTAACCGAAAAGTTCTTAGTAACGGAAAAGCCGTGATAATGCGGACACACGTAGGTTTAGCTGGGTAATCCTATGAATATAACGATATGAATGAACTACAAATTCTAAAGTTAGAGGGCAACGTACTCACCTCTAAACGCAGGGTTGACGGAAAGTAACGGGATGAACGAACGGACGAACCACGAACGACGAACGACCTCACACACAATGGACTAACCTCCTTCCTTTCTTCTTTTTTCCTCGTCTACAATTCAGAGTGCCTCCCTTTCCTAGCAGCTAGCCGAATCACAAGAGAAGGGGGGAGGAGGAGATTTGTGAGGATTGTTATGGATAGTGGAAGTTACAAGAATGATGAGGAAAACGAAGGGAGAAAGGGGCTTATAATTAAAGGGAATAATGGACCATTCCTATGTATGAGAGGTTTAAAAGGTGAAATGCATGCCCTACCATTACCAGAAATTCAACTATTACTTGCCCTATAGACAACATGGAGAGGAGGAAAGTAAGAGTAAGTCAAGTGTACCAAGAGACAAAATTTAGCTTGCTAGAAAATGCCCTAGGGATTAAAAGTCATATCATACTAAAGGCACCAGGCATACTCTCAGCCTTGAAAATTGGAAATATACTAGCCTAACCCTACTCTAAAGGGAAAGGATGGATCTATTCCTTAAGATAAGGAAGAGGAAGCTTCTAAGGCATTGGCTCAAATGAAGGATATTTCTTCTGCATGACCTTGTACATACCGGCTCTTTTAAAATTTTGGTCCTTTTGGAATCCAAAGGATCCCATGGCAGTGATCATCATCTTCCCATCGGGCTCCTTAAAAAGAATTTAGAAGAAGTTCTTGGTTCCCTCGGAGGTAGAAACGATAACCCGGGATGTTTCAGCATACTGGTTGCTGACCCATTCTGCGGCTTTGGTCGGAAAAGCTTCCTCTTTGGCCTAGGAATCAGCTTTTAGTTCCCTCATCTCCTCTTCCTTTTGGGCCAAGGCATCCTTCAGTTGTTCAATCTTTTTCGAGTAGAGATTCTTCTCTTCCTCAAAATGACCAGTCACCCATTTCAACTTGTTATTTTCTTCAGTCATCTGTTCCAAGTACTTCTTGACCTCACCAGCCTCCTTCTCATGCTCCCAGATTTCAGTTGGAGCAGCATCTAACATCTCTTGGAGATGATCTGTTTGGTCCTCTTGGGTGTCGGAGCAGCATCTAACATCTCTTCGAGATGATCTGTTAGGTTCTCTTGGGTGTCCAGGACCCATTTGGAAAAATCCTCAGAGAAATGACTGGCTTACAAGAAGAGAAGCTCAGTAAAAGTTAAAAAATGATATCGCAATGAAGGATGTGTCGTACCCCGTACAACTTGTGGCCCATGGCCATGTAGAGCTATTAAGAACACGTGGCCGGGACTTTCCCCGTGACGGCCATGGGGATCCCTTCATTGCTGTTTTTCTCAAGATGATTGGCTTCCTTACTTTGAATGTTATCCGGGGAAGATTTTGGGCATGGCTCCTCACCAAAAAGACGTTGCGCACCTCCTGATGGTCAGACCCGGCTGTCTCACTGTGGCCAGCCGAGGAAGAAGTGTTTCCAGTCAAGGGGTTTTCCATACCGGGGTGGGTTTCCTCAACTTCATCCTCAGGGTTGCCAAAAATTTCAAAGTCCATTTCTACCAAATAGGATTGGTGTTAACCTTACACCCAATCCTATTTGATCAAAGCCTTGTAATGTTGTGATTAAAAACATGTTGATCCAACACGTGAGTTTATATGTTGCAGTAGGTGTTAATCTGACCCTTATGAAATATATTAGTGTAACGCCCTACAAACCGGCCTATTAGCGAGCCAATAATTTTAAATAAATAAATATTATATATTTATTGAGACTCATTGTTTTAAATAATAAATATTGAGATTTTGATCTCATTAGATGGACTTCAAAAGTTAATGTGTTTTTAAATATAAGAAGATGTTTTAATAACGGACCTCTCAAAATTAATTAAATAAATTAATTAATGATTGGGATGGATCCGGAAGTTTGAAAATAAAGTTTCTAGAAAAATTATTTGAACATGTCATTAAATTCGTTTTGACTATCTGATTCCGGAAACACAAACGGATCTCAATTCGGACCCGTTCGGGGGGAAAAGCGTGTACCGTTCAGGTCAGATTTTATACTACAGAGTAAAATTATTGAGAATAACTCTCCACTTAATTTCACCTCAATTCTCACGCCACTACACCCTCATTCCTCCCACCATTATTCACCCATTAAATTCCCTTTAATAAAAACCCCCTTCCCCATTCATGTTCTTCATCATTTGTAACTCCCTTATTCAACACACACACTCTCCATCTTCCTCTTCTCCTTGTTGAGAGTTTCGGCCATAGCAGCCCAGGGGAAAAGGAGGAGTTCCGACGTGTAGACGAGGAGGTAAAAGAGAAGGAAGTTCACACGAGAAGTCATTCGTTCATCGTTCATCGTTCATCGTCATCCATCCGTTCATTCCGTTTACGTTTCATCAACCCCTACGTTTAGAGGTGAGTAGTCGTTCCCTCTAATTTTAGAACATTTAGTTATAATCTATGTCGTTATATTCATAGGAATATCGTACGCAACCTACGTAGAATCTATGCATGTTCGTAGGTTAGCCATCAAAACGTTCACTACGTAAAACATATATATATATTGGCCTAGGAATCACTAGGAATATATTCATCAATGTTTGCATTATTGTTCAAAAAAGAATCAAGGTGTTAAGTTTGCAAAATGGATCAAAATGTAGCCAAGGACAGAAGACTGTCACCGGGACGGTCGACCGTTACTTCAGACGGTGGACCGTACCCTCGGCCAGTCCAACGGTCACCGCTGGACGATCGACCGCGCGCCAGCCGCAACGATGGACCGTTGTGACCCAGACCCAAACCATAGTCCACGGTCGACCGCCGGTAGGGCACGGTCGACTGTTCCGCGGGCAGAATTCCGGGCAGTTTGTAGAACGAGCCCCGTTGACCATATTGACCCCGAATCTGATTGTATGTTTGCATGAAATGTTAATCTACAATATGTATGCTATTTAATTGATATATTCTTGGCGTTGACCAAAGGTAAATATATCAAGCATTCATCATGTTCATCCTAGACGCATGTCTTAGGTTCATCATCATGTGCATACCGCTGTAGGGAGGTCAGGCTTTCGTACGCCTACTACAGTGGGCCCGTCCAGGAACCTTTGGGATCCAACGGTTTTTCATCAGGTGGGCTTTGTGTACGTACATAGTAGTCAGGTTACGGATACTACCCAGTTTTGCTAGTCCACTTGTTCCCGGCTCATCATCGTTTCGGTATGACGACCGGAGTGCAGGGGTGATCCTGTCAAGTGAGGCTAAGCCAGGGGTGTCCCTGATAGTTTAGGTCATGCATCAAGTCGTATCATTATCATGTATGTTCCACATCACATCAACATTCAATGTGGTAGCACATCATTTTGTTATATGTAATAGTACCCCAACAGGTGCAAACTAAACAGTTAGTAAACATGTGGTTTTCCGTACGTTAAGTACAGGTATTAATGTGTGTATAATCATATGGGTTATCACTTCATGTTCTTCTGTTAGATTCACTCCTCAGCTTTTGCTAAGCGTGTAGTTGTTTTTGCTACACGCAGGTAGACATGACGATACATGTTCTAACCCTGGAGGACAGTGATAATGGGAAGATGGGCGGCGCACGGACAAGTTTAATAATTATATACATTTAATAAATTAATCATTTGGGCAAGAACCTACCATTTGTCGTTTTACTTGTTTTGGACTAACTTATTTACTTCCGCTTTTACTATGCATTTATATCACACGCGTTTTGGGGTTAACTCCCTAGCATTTATTACATCAATTAAACACAACCGTTTTTCATAATAAATGGACATTAATGTTTTCCCTACGGACGATTCTCGAACCGCCCATGTAACCCTACCAGTCTGTTGGGTCGCGGGTGAACCGAGTCCATAGAAGGCGGGTGTTACAATTAATCTGCCAAGTAGAACTCTAAGACTAGCGTGAGTTAATAGTATCAAGTGTGTTAAGAGGTTTAGATTCATGTGGTACCTGCTAGGCAAATGAGTATTCACGTAAAAAGGTCATGCACAGCTATCCATGAAAGTCTTGGTTATCCATCAAGGGGGGGGGGGGGGGGTNGGAAACTCCTTTGTTCGTTGAGCATGACTCTCTGATCCGAAGAGAAGAATCATGACTCCTAGTCAATTGGAAAGATATCATAGTCTAAGTTAGGCTAAGAACATATGTTAGTGAACTATTGCAAAAGGTGATGAACCACTACAGGAATGATGGGAATATGATATGGCCGTTGCCAAGTAATGAATGTGTTTGAAGTGTAGTTGTTGTATCACATATTGTTTGCATGATATCACGTAATTATTATGAATTGTAAATCTGTCTATATGTTTACTCGAATGTTAGATATTTCTTATTCAGCTTCATCGTTGAGCGTGTAGTTGTTTTATTTCCTACACAAAGGTAATCAAGAATAGTATGAATCTATAATTAATTCCGGAGGGCAACGAGAATGAAGAGATGTACGATGGAGTGATCTTCTGGGCTCTCTCTCTCTAGTCTACTCTGTAGACCCGTGCTCCCTTAACTCACTACACCAATAATTAAATAAATTGAATTCAAAATTAAAATCAGTCAAACATCATAACATGTAATCGGAAGAACCAACTTGGTTGGAGGGAGTATAACCTAATGTCCTAGAGACCCCTACCCTATTTTGAATTTTATCAAATCGATTTGTTATAATCTTTCCGTCCAAAAATAATCTTTTCATTCACTATTCACAAAGCCAAATTTTATTCACTTTGTTGATCTATTTTCGATGTTCATTAGATAAAATAATATATAGTCATGTCACTTCTAATTTTGTAAATCTTTTGATGTTGTTTTTAAATATGTAATTTTTATTTTTTTTATAGTTTCATACTATTTTTCCAATAAAATGATTTGAAAATAACTACAGTCATACATCATAACGCGCAATGAGAACATTATTATTGGATGAAGGGAGTAGTTGTTAGTCGTGTCTCATCGTATCCCAAAGATATATTAGATCCTTGATCCATGGGTGGCCAGGAGGGTGTGCAAAGCCGCACAGGGACCCTAAAATTTTAGGGCCTCATATTTTTAAATTCATCATTAATTTTGAAGCATAAATATTCTAAAATAATAAAATAGGGCCCAAAATGTAAATTTCGGACCAAGCCAATTTCAATTTTTTTATTTTTCAAGGCCGGCCCTGCTTGATCCTTCTTCTTTTTTATAGAGAGTATCAGATTCTAATTAATGTGAAACAAAGCCATTGTTGAGAAAGTTTCCACCATCACAAAATATATCAAAAGGAGAAAAAAGGCAATATTGGGATCAGATGCTAAAATAGCGGCACAGCGCAGACATATCCTTATGCTGTTCAAACGACCTTAACCTTTCCAAAAGCCATCTTAGACGGAGTATTATATATGGGCACACAAAAAAATAGAGTAAATTTCATAAAAGGTCCCCAGTTATAGGTCGTTTTACATATTTAGTCCATACATATTAAATATTACTAATTTAGTCCCTAATTATTATATCATTTTTCACGAATAGTCCTTTGTTAACGTTTTTGTTAAGAACATGGATAAAATTGTATATTCATATTTCTCTCTCTCCTCAATTAAGCTTCCTCCCTCCTCTCGTACTCTTTCCCAAACTCATCGCTGAGTTTAAAGCTCTAAACCCAAAACTGAAATGATCATTTCTCTCTCAATTATTAGTCTTCCTGGTGGAATCTAATATCAAAACCAATAAGCTTTATGGATGTGTTTTATCGGCGCGCTAGTCTCAAGAAATTGCAAAGAAAATAAACATTAAAACTCATCCATAAAGGTTACTGGCATGGTTTCGAATTTTTTCCACCACTAGACAAAAAATTGAGAGAAGAGTGATGACGATTTCGGGTTCAAAGCTTCAAGCTCAGCGACGGGTTTGAGTAAGGAGTGCGAGGGGAGGGAGGAAGCTTAATTGAGGAGAGAAAAAAGTGTGAATTTACAATTTTATCCACGTTCTTAATGGAAATGTTAACAAAGGACCATTTGTGGAAATAATATAATAATTGGGGACTAAATTAGTAATATTTGATATGTACGGACTAAATATGTAAAACGACTTAAAACTGGGGACCTTTTATGAAATTTATCCAAACAAAAATGTGGATATCTTTAATTTGATTCTCCCGATCTGTCGTTTAAATAATTAAATTTCAGTCACACACATAATTTAGTTTCAACTTTTAATCTTATTCTTAATTCCGTGAAGGCAAACTGTAAAAAAAAGGATGAGCTCCATCCCTGAGGGTTCCCTCAGACCCGATCGGATAGTCACTGAGAGAAGGTAAATTAAATTTTAATTGCTGATTCATTGGTGGCAGAGAGTGGAGCTTGCACCTGGTACTTGCAGAGACTTTATGCTTAGCATAGAAGCCTTCCAACAGAGTTGCCAATAATCCAACTCGGGTCTATTCCCTTGGCACTCCCTGTAAATTTCAAGTCGAAGTATGTTACTCCATATGACATAAGTACTCCCTCTGTTTTTTTAAAATAGTTTCTCTTTAATTTTTTTGATTTACAACAAAATATTTTTATTTTAACAAAAAATGACTAATATATTTAAATAAAGTCATTGAAATACTCAATCTATTTTGCATTGATATAATAAGTTATTTAAGTGATTTGTCTCTCTTTTTTCTTCGATGCTAAAGATAGAATTGTAAAATGAAATTACGAAAATAAATCTATTAAAAATCAAAATAGAAACTGATGTTTTTGCAAAGGGAGAGATATATTCATCCCTAAATCTTTTATACATTACGCAAAACGAAGTAAAATCTCAAATTTTTTAAATTTATTTTATTTAAACATTGGTATATAAATAAAAACAAAACTTACATATTTAAAAAGTACATCAAAATTTCTACAAAATAAAAGGTTACAATAATATTTTATTTTATCAAATAGTCAATGAAACACACAAATAAACAAAAATATTGTGATTTTTGAATAGTAAGTGTGTAAGTCATTTCGAGATGGAGAGAGTATTATTTATTACTCCTTCCGTCTCAGAAAAGGCTCTCAACTTGATTTGACACACAATGTTTAAAAAGAATTAAAAAAAAATATGGTTGAAAGTGGTACAAGGGAGAAAAAATGTGAGACATTTAAAGTTTTCGGAAAAATGAAACTTTTTTAGGACGCTCTAAAAAAGAAATGAGAAAGTATTTTTTTGGGTAATTTTCATAAAAGGTCCCCAGTTTTAAGTCGTTTTACATATTTAGTCCCTACATATCAAATATTACTAATTTAGTCCCCAATTATTATATTATTTCCACAAATGGTCCTTTGTTAACATTTCCATTAAGAACGTGGATAAAATTGTAAATTCACACTTTTTTCTCTCCTCAATTAAGCTTCCTCCCTCCCCTCGCACTCCTTCCTCAAACCCGTCGCTGAGCTTGAAGCTTTGAACCCGAAATCGTCATCACTCTTCTCTCAATTTTTTGTCTAGTGGTGGAAAAAATTCGAAACCATGCCAGTAACCTTCATGGATGAGTTTTAATGTTTATTTTCTTTGCAATTTCTTGAGACTAGCGCGCCGATAAAACACATCCATAAAGCTTATTGGTTTTGATATTAGATTCCACCAGGAAGACTAATAATTGAGAGAGAAATGATCATTTCAGTTTTGGGTTTAGAGCTTCAAACTCAGCGATGAGTTTGGAAAAGAGTACGAGAGGAGGGAGGAAGCTTAATTGAGGAGAGAGAGAAATATGAATATACAATTTTATCCATGTTCTTAACAAAAACGTTAACAAAGGACTATTCGTGAAAAATGATATACTCCCTCCGTCCCAAAAAGATTTACACCTTTCAAAAAAATTGTGTCCCACAATCTCCTACCCATTTCTATTAAAAAACCACTTTTACCTCTTACTTTTTCAAACCCTACCTATCACATCATACTTTTTTCCTAATAATCTATACATTACATCCTACTTTTACCCATCACATCAAGGGTATTTTTGGAAAGTCAATACAAAATTATCTCTCCCTTAATTTCTAATTTAGTAAAAAAGGGTAACACTTTATGGGACGGAGGGAGTAATAATTATGGACTAAATTAGTAATATTTGATATGTAGGGACTAAATATGTAAAACGACCTATAACTGGGGACCTTTTATGAAATTTACTCTTTTTGTTTCATTAAAAATAAAGCGGAAAATATAAATTGATTTTTAGACACCAAAAAATTGCACGATTAATTCAAAATTAAGGGAGTAGAATAATTTTTTTTGTAAATAAAAACAAAATGATGGATTAGGACTGTTTTTGCATGTTTTTTAGTTATTTTAAGTAAAATAGGTTGGTTCACTTATAGTATAAATGTTTTCCGAGGCCTATAACCATAAGTGTAAACATTTGGTTGAGTTTTTCTTTGACATGATATGAGATTCGTGTTAATTTTCTACTGTACCTTAGAGGGGGTGTTGGAGTAAAAAATATTTCCTCCGTCTCTAAAAGATTGCCACAATTTGACTTTTTTAATCAAATTAGGACTCTCTTTGACCACGAACTAAATATAGTTTGAAATAATTAAATATTACGGAGTATAAAAATTTGATATTTCTAAACTTTATTTTAAAACAAACCTATTTTTATCAAAGGGTGTCACAGTTTGATCAAAAAAGTCGATCAAACTATGACAATTTTTTAAGGATTTAAAGTAAAAAACTTGAGCTTCTACTTACTCCGTGGTTTCTTGACAAGTTCGATCTCATTCCATTTAAAAAAGAAATACCGAGTAAGGGGTTTATATTATTTTTCTGTACACTTCATAATTGTGAAATATACATTTTTGCTTCATTATAAATTTCGTGAAAAAAGTAATTTTTTTAGGAATCCAGTAGTAAGAAAATAAGGGATAATTTTTTGTGGTGTGGGGGTGGGGTGGGGTGGGGGTACGTGCACCATCTATTTATCCATTATATTGTTGGACCCCTTGTTTCCAGCTGCACTCCCTCAATTAACTTGGATCAACTCACATGGTATCATGAATTTATATATTGACCTCTTCATTCTTTTCTTTTCTTTTCTTTTGTTTAATTAATGAAATTATGTGCTCCGTATTGTTTATGATTAACTACGCACGTGCAGGCATATGCAAGGCGCCGCCAAGTGAAGAAAATAGTAGAGATTGGACCGTGGGGCGGTCGCGGTGGCCGGGCATGGGACGACGGAAGCCACGACGGAATAAGAGAGATAATCGTCGTCTACGGCGACTGTATCGACTCCATCACCGTAGTTTACGATAAACATGGCACACCTTTCACTGCTCCTAAGCATGGGGGAGTTGGCGGTGTCAAAACAGCACAGGTATTATTTTGGGTTAGGATGTTTGAATGATGTTATTTTTAAGAATAAATTCCCAAAATAATCATTTGTAATAAAGTGTTTTCTCAATTCAATCTTCAATAAGTCTTAATTACCTGTATGATCCTCTATAATTGAGATTTATTCTCAAGATAGTCCTTCGTAAATAGTGTTACTCAAATGATGATTAATTGGGAGATATTTTGGTATTTTGATCATCCAAATTTAAAATATATTCTCGAAATAATTATTTTTATACAACTAAATGTAAAAATGAAAAAATACATTGACTATAAATAATTCATGAATTATTTAAAACTTATAAAAAATCTTTTAAATTTCAAATCAAATACACATCTTTAACTAGAAAAAACCATTTCGGGAAAATACTTCATTATAAATGATCATTTTAAGAATTAATTCTAAATTTAGCGGATAAAAAAATACCAAAATACCCTCATAATCCTCATTTGAGTAATAGTATTTACGAAGGATCATCTTGGAAATAAATTTCAATTATAGAGGACCACGTAGGTAATTAAAACTTATTGAGGGATTTGAGGACTGATTTGGAAAAACTTCTTATTACAAAGGACTATTTTGGGAATTTACTCTATTTTTAAGGTAATTTATTTGAGAATTGAAGTAAAAATAAAAAGTAAAATTAAGTACTTTATACTCCCTCCGTTCCGCAAAACCCTTCCGGTTTTGACTTTGGAGAAAAATAAGAAAAATGTAATTTTGGTTGACTTTTTAATTTTGCTCCTGATGTGATGGGAAAAAGTAAGATGTAATAGTTTGGTTATTAGTGAAAAATATGATGTGATAAGTAGAGTATGAAAAAGTAAGGGTAAAAGTTGTTTTTTAATAGAAAGTGGAAGTGTTTTGAGGAAAGCAAAAAAAACGAAAGATGAAGGATTTTAAGGAACGGAGGGAGTACATATTTTAAAACTACATCAAAAGTTCTACGAACAATAAGTGTCATGATTAATTAATTATATTACTTTATCAAATGACTAACGAAAATAGAAAAAACAAGTGAATGAAATTTGACCTTGTTACTATAGTAAACATGCAGCTTAATTTAGGTTAAATGCAGTGTAAGAAAAATATCATTTTCTCGCATTTCTTCAACCAAAATGGAGAGCATGAAAATTTATTTTTATCTCTTTTTCTTTCAAATTTTTGAACCAAACAAAGGGTATTTGTAGAATTTTAGAAAGTACTTGCTTGCCTTTTATTGATACAACAAACGATATATATAGTACAAGAATTACCAAAACATCTAAGTAAAATATGTCTCTACATTGAAACTAAATAAATAAAATGATATACAAAAATCTATTCCAATACTCCCTCTAGTTGGAGCATGGATTTAAAAAATGCCCAACTTAGACAACAAAAATTAGAAAAGTAGATCGGGTAGTGCCACCGTGAAGATAACTGTAATTTGGAGACGAATGGGTACGTATGCGCGTCGTGACAACATGTTGGCAGAGAAGACACTCATGAACAATATGACAATCAATATCAATGTGCTTGGAATGCTCATGAAACACAAGATTTGCATCAATAAACAAGGCGGACTTATTGTCACAATATAATTTAGGGATGGCGAGGCAGAGGACAAATAACACATCGAGCAAACCCCAAATCTAACAGATTTCAGCACAAGCATTTGCCATAGCACAATATATACTCTGCTTCAGCAGACGAATGAGAGACTTTTGTTTTCTTTTTTCACTACCAAGAGATAGGTGAGGCACCCAAAAGAATGAAATATCTACTAACCGATCTCTATGTAATAAGACAGTTGGCCGAGTTTGAATCAAAATAAGGTGTAAGGGCTAAGTTACTGTCACTTCGTAATAAAATACCTTGACTATATATGATGGCCTTTAAGATAACGCAGACACATAGAGCAGCATTGAGATGGTCAAGATGAGGAGCCTTCATGAACTGAGATTAAACATGCACAGAAAAAGAGATATCCGGACGCATCAAAGTGAGATACAAAAGAGAGCCAAAAATACGAAGATACTTGGTAAGATCACGAATTTCAGCACTGATGGGCATAGCGAGCTGAGATTGTGACCCGGTTGGATGGGGGTGGAGACAGGCTTACAACTAATAAGACCTACTTCCTGAATAATATCCAAGTATGTATATTTTCTTTGGTTAAACACCATAGCTTCTTTAGAACGAGCATAAAATGCCTAGAAAATACAAAACAAGGCCAAGGTCCATGAGATGAAAACAATCATCAAGATACGGTTTGAAACTCATACATAAAGAACAGTTACAAGTTATCATCTACATCGACCAATACAACCAACATATCCGGCCATCAGTGATAAACAAAAAGTGTATGTGATACGAATATCATATCGGATAGGGAAGAACTTCGAGCGTTCTTCAAGCTCCAAGAAAGGGGAGGCAAAGAGAGAAGGAAAACTTCAAGCGCTTTCGGGCTCCAAGAAAAGAGAGACGAGAGATTAGCATTTTGATATTCTTATTGCTTGAGTAATTATGAGAAATGAGTACAATATATAGAGTAATGCAGCAACACCAACTGACCTAATGGGCTTAGGCCCGTACTAAACCCTAAACTAGATTAACTATAAAATATTAATAAATAACACTAATTAATAAATAATATAACTAATATATTATTGTATCATTCCCACCCCCTTAAAAACCACCTTGTCCTCAAGGTGGAGGCTCCCACTCGTGCTTCTGAACTGGTGATAAAACATTGAACAACACACAAAGTGCACCTGGTGAGCGTTTTACAAAAAGAGTGTTGGTTGAAGTGTGTAGAACCGTCTGCTTTAAAACTAGATATTCAGACTTGACAACATCAACGATGTCAAATAACTGAAAAGTTTCCAACGAAATTGAGTTCTCTGCTACCTGGTCTACAATCACGAGAGCTTCATACCTTTTATTGTCCACAACACCTGATGTATCATAAAATGCTAGATCTGACTTCTGGGATGACTCATCATTTTTAATAGTAACATTATCATCTTCCTTCATGACGTGATACTCGCTATTTTTTTCATTTTTGCAGTGCGGCTCAACTTTTAGTCTCTCATATCCAGATGTGTCCTTCACAATAGGAGCAAGGTGTATACTGTTTCTTCCGTCATTTGAATAGTTGTGTCTCTAGCCGTAGGGGGTAAACTTGGTGGAGGACACGATGCGTCAATGAGACTTTTTATAGCGTCCAACGTTTTTGTTCTAAAATTTTGTAACTCCACAGAAACCAAACCTGATAAAATTGGAGGACCACGAACCAAATTTTGGACTAAACAAGAGATTTCAATGCCCAACGCATGCAAGTCAGAATCATAATTGGTTTGACCCCCAATAGGGCAAAATGATCGTAGATTCTTGAGAATTTCATCTATGTGATCGAAAAGTGTGCAAACTCCTTCGTCATGTTCAATTTCTCCACATAGAACATTCTCTAGAAAATCAATTAGTTTGTCCAATGCAGCGGTACAAATAATCAAAGCCTCTAACCGCTTGAATCGTGCCTCCATTCGGAAGGAAAAACCCTGCTCCATTTGAAAAAAATATGAATTTGGTCACAGCCGACCAATTAACACAGTCCAAAAAAAACAAATCGACTCTGGTCCAATTTTTTTTCCCTGCGATAGAATTTTGTGCTGCAGTAGTAGCTGTGCTTTTGTCACTTTTTTGTTGTTGTTGGTAAAACACCACAAATTGCAGCACCCAAATTGAATCTGAATTAGCCCAAAAAAACTTCTTACGGACACTTGCAGCAAGATTTGATTTGTTTTACTTGGCGGCTGATTTCACAAATAAGCTTGGGATGGGAAACCAATTTAAGCCCCTGGATGACAAAAAGCTTGGTGGCGGCGACGTTTGGGACGGATCAAATCAAGTGCAGCGGCGGCAGCAACGTTTGGGACAGATGGAGGCTCCGCAGAGATGCCGACGATAAATATCGGTGCGATTAAGATTCCTGACGGTAAATTGGCCACAGTGATGATAACCTCCGATGGCAAAAAGATCTGCACAAAGCTTTCTACTTTTCAGATCGGCGAAAATCTGGGCGGCTGGGACACGGCGGAAACTACTAGATCGTCTTAGATTTTTTTTTGATTTTTTTTTGTGTTTCTCTCAATGAAAGCACCAATTGATACGAATATAGTATCGGATAGGGAAGAACTTCGAGCGTTCTTCAAGCTCCAAGAAATGGGAGGCAAAGAGAGAAGAAAAACTTTGAGCGCTTTTGGGCTCCAAGAAAAGAGAGACGAGAGCTTAGAATTTTGATATTCTTATTGCTTGAGAAATTATGAGAAATGAGTACAATTTATAGAGTAATGCAGCAACACCAACTGACCTAATGGGCTTAGGCCCGTACTAAACCCTAAAATAGATTAATTATAAAATATTAATAAATAATACTAATTAATAAATAATATAACTAATATATTATCATATCAGTATGATCAACGTGGGCTTGACGGAATCCATACTAACAAAGAGCCAAAGTCAATTTAGAAAACCAATTTTGAGGTGAGTTGTGCATGCCATAAAGAAATTTTTGGAGTCGACATAACTTTCTAGGATAGGTGTGAGTGTAGCGTGGTGGTAGCTTCATATACACTACCTCGCGAAGATCCCCTTGTAAAAAAGAATTATTAACATCAAGTTGATAAACTTCAATTCCCAATTTGGAGCCACAAAACTGATAATAGAACATGAACCGTTACTAGCTTGGAAGCAAGGGAAAATGTCATAGTATAATATGTGCCCCATTCTTGATGATTCCCCATCATGACCAGTTTGGCTTGTCACGCTCTTTAGTACCAACGGATTTGTATTTTGTTACGAAACACCCACTGACACACTAATGCTAATTTATTATGAGGAGGATTAGTGATGATCTCCAAAGACAGAATTTCCTGCAGAATAGCCTCCCACCATGAAGCGTGCTACACGAATTCCAAAAGTTTTTTGGTACATGATGGCCGGGCATCAACAACTCAAAGAAATCCCTTATACCTTTCAAGTAACTTTTTAGTTGAAACAAACTTAGTAATAGGAAACCACGTGCCTTGAGATGAAGACTAGATATGAGAAGGATAAAGTTAAGTTGTGGATTTTGCAGAGTAACAAATGAGGTCTTTGAAGGTCAAATAGGACTAAGAAGGTCAATTTGCGAGAACAAAACTAGATGGATGAAACTAGAGGATGAAATTTTAAATGGGAATAGAAATTCATCAAACAAGATGCCCCGGGTGTAAAAAATAATGGGTTTCAATATACCCACATCTCTTTTGTACCATAAGTGTAACACCCCGACCCGCGTAATACGAACCGACGAGTTAGCGAATCGGGTTGCTACTAATTTGGTACTCACATGCACAATATTTTAAAAACACTTAAAAATAAAATACATTCATATTTATTGAAAAACAATTCATCTTTTAATCGGAGTAAATAACTGAAAGTTGCGGAAGCCTTCAAAAACAACATTCAACATTCTAGTAATAATTTTAAATAAACAAATTCAACACTCTATATTTAATTTAAATAAAATAGCATCAGCCATCCACCAGCGTCACGCCTCACTGCCCTCCAGGCTGCTCATCATCCAATCCTTGATCCCTATCTGTAAAAATAGGGAGAGTGGAAGTATCTAACGCCAAAACTAACTCATAGACTAGCACCCATTAATATATAATCAAACACTATCAGAAGAATGAGCAAATATCATTATCCAACTGTACCACTATAGATCCTTATGACCACCATGCGCACGTTTTTAACCCTCAAGGCCACCGGATACACGCCGTCACCCGCATGACCTTATTTTCTAATCTCAATCGTTTTGATGATTTCTAATACTCAACTCAACTAAAATCTGCCTAGGTCTACTAGGTGCCCAGTTTACAATTCCAGTTTAACATAAAATTTACCCTAATTCATTAGTATAGTAAATTTGGTTTGATTTGGGATCATTATCAAATTTTAAGGTCAAGTACAAGGAAGGACAAAATTAAGAACAACTTGAGAATCCCGTGGTCAAATTGTAATTGTTGGAACAAGATGTTTAATTCTCAAAGGAAAGGCTCTGTAGTCTGCTCCCTCTTTTCCTTCACGCAGTAGCTAAGCCCAGTAGAGAACAACAAAATAGAAGAGGCAAAGAGGGAAAAGAAGAGAAGAAAACAGAGGGAGGAGAAAGGAACAAAACAGAAGAACGAAGCAAAGCACAGTCAACAACCCAACTCAATTACCCCAAATCCCAAATTCAATTTCAACACAATCAATCACACAATTCAATAATCATAATCACAAACTCATAATGAATCCGAATCTATGAACCAATCTTAACGAGAGATAATTCACTCACCTTGAATCGGCTTAGAAATTTCAAACTACACCGGCGAATCCTCGACGAAGCTTCGGCAGGTTTCCCGGCGAAGACTCCTGTCCAACCTCCGGCGACAACTCTAGCGATGTCCGGCGAACTCTGGTCTGCTCCAGTTGGTGGCGCGGCGAAAAAGACATACTAAGAGGACTCTTTGGAACGCGATTTATACTTCGAGATTGACCCCTTTCCAACTTAGATTTGGTTTAGAAATTAAGGCCCCGTTTGGTACACGGAATTCAAACTATGGAATTGGAATTGATGACTTCAATTCTAATTCTAGTGTTTGGTAGCACAAAAATTATGTGGATTTGGAATTGATAGTGCTAGAAATGAATTGGAATTGACGAAATTCAATTCTATGGAATTGAATCCCATGGAATTTCAATTCCAATTCAATTCCAATTCCATCAATTCCGTATACCAAACGGACCCTAAGAGACTCCTCCCTAATATCGGTTTGGTAATAGGATCGGACGCCACTTCTTTATTACTACGGAGTAATATTTATTATAATATTATATTACAATATCTTTTTATTTATTATTAAAGTCTGATATCTATTTCATTCACCACGCTTTACACGTATGTCCAAATTTAACAAATTATATACCGTTAGTCACCATTTTACGAGATCTACTCGAAAACCTAATTTTTAATTAAAATGGTTAACTTTAAAAATAATTCATATTTTGAAGTCAATAAATAATATATTCATTTTTATTAAAATAACGGCTAACTACTAAGCCAGGTTTCAAGGCGTTACAATAAGGATAACCAACAAACATACATTTGACACTTTGGGAAGAAAATTTGTTGGGGGTTTGGAAACATGATGAACAAAACATAGGCACTCAAAAAGACGTAGATGACTCAAGATAGAAATTTTATTGGTGAGAATTTGAATAGGGAGACTTACCATCAAGGAGTTTGGAGGAAGTTCTGTTGATGAGATAAACAGCCGTTTTGACACATTCCCCCCAAAACTCTAAAGGAAGAGATGCTTGAATTATAAGAGCACATGTGATGTTTAAAATATGTATGTCCTTACGCTCAACTTGCCCATTTTGCTATGGAGTATCTACACAAGAGATTTGAATACAAACTCCCATGGAACCATAATAACTACAAAGAAAGGTATTAAGAAATTCAGTTCCAGTATCAGATCGTATAATTTTTATGATTTTGTTTTCCTCTGTCGAAATCATAGCAAAGAAGGTTTTAAGAGAGGATGTAACCTCGCTTTTATCTTTTATAAGGTGCACCCAAACAACACGAGAGTGATCATAAATAATTGTAAGAAAATAATAAGCCCTGAAGATAAACATATAGAATATGGACCCCACAAATGACAATGAATAAAATTGAGAATATATATCATCAGCCTTGTTATGAATTACAAGAAAAGAAGAATGAGTTTGTTTAGACGAAAAAATGTCACAACTTTGTTGTTTCTGGACAATAGAGTCACTTTTATTTGAACTAAACAATGATGTAATTTGTGGAGACGGATGACCCAAACATTGATGGAGAAGAACATGATCGATAGTGGTAGTATGGGCGATGGCTTGGTGGCAAAAGATGAAAAAATCTATTTTGCAGTTTGCCCTGTCCAATATTTGTCTACATCAAAGGGTCTGTAACGCCACAAAATATGGCCTAAAATTTATTATAAAACAAAAGTAGTTTTTGTCTAATAAAGAATATTTTTACGTTTGACCAAAAATAAATGGATTTTCAAAATAATGACTTTGTGTAAAAACTTATTTTTATGGATATGTCTCGAAGAGACGAATCCAACGGTATATTTTATGAACCAATTTGATTTATAGATTTCAAGTTATGACGATTTTAAATATTAAAATTTGTAACTTTGACCCATAAAATAAACTCAATTCAAAAGTGATTTCATCAGATTAGAAATCACAATTTTGACACTTGACAAAACTATATTTGTCATTTGGATTTAATTCATATATTTTTATCTCATTTATATTATTAAATTAATTTATGACTAAGACAGACCCAGACACTGAGAAAAATATAAAAGTTCTCAGAAAAATGTTTTGATTACGTCAAAATTCTAGTTTTGACAGTCTGATTCAAAAAACACAATCCGTTTTCAATTCGGAGCAGTTTGGGCGAAAAAGCGCATACC